TAAATGAATATTGCAATATCCTTTCTAGCTAAGTAGAGAGCATAGCAGATGACTGGAAGATGCTTGGCAAATATTTTTAGGAGATCTGCCAAGTATAGGCCAGTTCTGCCACAAAATTACTCAAAGGATTTTAATGAGCCTGGGGCATGCTATAAATTTAAATTGAGTTTCCATTTCAGATACAAAGAAACAAATGAATCCATTGAAATGGCACGCTGGGTTGATGTAGCTACAATTTTGGGTAAAATTTGAACAAGAAGCAAATAAGGAACAGTATGTAACAGTATTTATTTTAAAATTATTTGATGAAACCAAGGAAAACAGCTATAACACTAAATGCAAATAGAACTTACAACAAAAATACCATGCAAATAGTTAGTTGTAGAGGTGATTTATGGAAATTGATGATAGAGCACTGTGTAGAGATTGAGATATGTGAGAGTCAGTTGATGTTTGATAACACCTAATCTGATTAAAAGATAACTCCAAACATGCCAATCAGTACCATCTGTACTGGTTATGGTGCAAGATGTGCCCGGGCACCCAAACAATTTAAATAGTCAAACCATACAAATGGTTTGACAACATACCTCGGGTTCACTTGATGTCCACTGCTGCCTCCTTTTTAGATGGAAGCTGCAGCACTTAGCTAAGCCTGGTTCTGTAGAACCACGCTAATTGGCTGAGAGTCCTGCACTGTGTGGCTTAGCTCAAGGTAACTAGTTTCTTGCAGGTTCTTGAATGGTTTGATTATGTTCATGGGGTTGAGTAGTCTTTATGGTGCTTGGAGTCTTATTTTAATGGACCTGAGAGGGTAAGAATGTTAACTGGAAAAAAACGTAAGTACATTAGACATTACATTTACCAGGACTATAAATTAAGTTATTTAACAAAAGAAGACACTTCTCTAACATAGATAACTAAAGCCATAATTGAAATAATTGGTGTGTAATGTATGCTCCGTAACAAACCGGTTTTTTAATCTTGTGAGCTGAGAAATGTTATGATTCTGTTGCAACGACTGCAGTCCTGAACGGGTAAATGTATCTATTTTCTGACAAAACTCAATAATAGATACTACCATGAATGGTATGTTTGAGGTCCAAAGGAATATTGTAGAGTATCCACTCAATTTTCTGAGAAGATTCTGGACTTCGTTGCCAGCTTCTTCGGTGTAAGTATGACTATTCTAGTACATTACTTGTATATAGGTATAATTATGATTTTAAAATTAAATGATTCCTGTAGAGAGAATAGTTCTTGCCATGTTTATAATATAGAACCTGCAGATGCTTTTTTAATGGATCCTGAATTGTTTTTTAACACAGAATTATTGACTTATTTTCCTAATAAGTATAGTACGATCCCTGAAAATACAAATTAAGAATAAAGGTTTGATGTTTTATTGGCAGCCACAGGACATGAAATAAACTCTTCCAAAAAATAGTTTGACATTAGACGTCTACACCCTTTTCCATTCAAACCGTGGCAGTTTTTGGAATTGAATGTGAGACATCTTGCAGAAAAAGAGAGGCCATACCATTGAATATCTCAATGATTGACACATTGACAATGTTCTGGCATTCTCTCTTGTCAAAAGAAGTCTGCATAGGAGGTGTAATATCAGCCACAGGCAACAGCAAGTGTAGGGGTGGGCACGTCACTCAATATGGAAAGAAAAACTGAATCAATTAATATTATTGCCCATACAGATGTGTTTATTTCAAATAGTTTATTTTTCTCTACATGTTTTGTGCAGACAAAGGTGTCAGAAAAGCAATCAGAGACTTCCCTCAGAAAAAAAAGTGTGTCCAGTTTTCATTAACTGTTTTATGCAAAAATAACATCATTTTGTAACCCTAGTTTGGGGAGTTTTTTGTGTGGGGGGGCTGGTAAATGCTCAATAATGTGATTTTTCACTTTAACATCTTAAAATGTACATTTTGGACGACCAGACAATAGGTGTAGTACTATGAATTATAAGGCATGTTGGTCTGATTCCTTACAATAGGGGGTGCCAGGAAACTCCTGAAACCATAACCACTATGGCAAAATGTAGTGATTATGGTGTTTGAAGTGCTTCTTTAAAAAAAAATAAAAAAAATTCATTATACTAAAGTAGACTTCTTTATTTTCAACAATGATACATGTTTAATGCACAAATTATTTATTAGAATTCGGTTTTATTAAATTATTGCTCAAAGCATGTCCACTTTAGTGATTTGAAATTGTTATGGTGCTTTGAGTCTGTATGTGCAACAGTTCACTGTGAAACATTGCACATACAGAAATGCAGCCTTTTGCTGCTGGGCTCTCTGTCTTTGACAGCATCAATTAGGCTTCATTAGACAGCCTGGAACAAGAGTTCTAGGCTGGCTTATGTGAATTCTGTGCATACTGGATGTCTGCCATCAGCACACACAGCATGCCAGTGACAAGTGACTAATGACAATTGGTTCTCCCTCCATGTCAATCAAGTCTTACCTTCAGCCTGTGGCGAAACCAACTTCGCCACTGTACACTGGAGAAGCCTGGTTGCTCGCCTGCTCCCTTTAGACTATGGTCCTGCATTTTAAACTTTTATTTTACCGGCAGAAAGGTTTATTCGTGCCTTTCTGCGGACTGTTAAAGCCATGCTACCCCAGATAGCTATGCCATGGAGCCCAGCCGTATACTGAAAGACTGTATGAAAGACTCTGGCTCCATGGCGATTGAACTGTACAGGTAGTACGGACAGCCGGTCCGGATCCCCAGTGGCAGAGTATTCTACCAGGAGGGGAGAATACTTCCCAGCGGCGGCCTAGTCCACCAAGGGGAGATGAGAAGCCCCACAACCGTGCAGATGGGACCGTGGTCTCTGCACTTACAGCACGGGGGTAGGGAAGGTCGGTTCTGGCCCCCAGCGACAGGGCTGTTTAGCCAAAGGGGAGACAGTCAGTCTCCCCCTCCAGCAACCAGGCTCCAACCAGACTACTCCCGTGGTAGTGCTGGCACCAGTGCTGAGTACCGCTGGTCTCTGCCCACTCAGCAACCCACCCAGACTGCTTACCAGTCACCCATGGTGAGGCGCCTGGACATGGACAACGTTCTCCTCTACCCAGGTGTAGTAACCAGTTCTTGTGGGTGAGCTGTATTACTGATTGTGTTTTGTGGGTGGGCTGCTGGACTAACAAGGGCACTGACTGACATGAGGTCAGATACCCTGTTAGTCTGATTGGTAAAGGGGAGAAGTGTGGCGAAACCAACCTCGCCACTGTACACTGGAGAAGCCTGGTTGCTCGCCTGCTCCCTTTAGACTATGGTCCTGCATTTTAAACTTTTATTTTACCGGCAGAAAGGTTTATTCGTGCCTTTCTGCGGACTGTTAAAGCCAAGCTACCCCAGATACCTATGCCATGGAGCCCAGCCGTATACTGAAAGACTGTATGAAAGACTCTGGCTCCATGGCGATTGAACTGTATGCATAGGCGTGCGCACGGGGTGTGCCGGGTGTGCCTGGGCACACCCTAATCCCGCGCACGCCTATGTGTATTGAGACCGGCAGGGGAGATCTCAGGATTTCCCCTGTCGGCTCATGCAGAGCCGGCGCTATCTGAGCGCCGGCTCTGCTCTCAACCTCCCTCCCCACTGACCCACATGCAGGGAGGGAAGCAGGAGAGGACCCGGCGGAGGTATTGCCGGCAGCTCAGCCGGGTTCCTCTCTCGAGATATGAGCGTTGCCACGGCAACGCTCAAATCTCGCGAGAGTGAACTCTAGCCCCACAGGGGTTAGAGTTCACTCTCCACTGGACCACCAGGGATCACAGCAGCAACAAGGATCCCCTCCTCCACTGGACCACCAGGACCACGATCCCCCCTCCCTACAAAAGGTAAGAAGGGAGGGGGGATAGCAATTAATGTACCCCCACCTCCACCCCCCACAATAACCCACCCACACACATACAACACACACAGCACACACACATTCAGCACCCACAGACATACACAGCACCCACAGCACATACAGCACCCACAGACATACACACACACATACAGCACCCACACACATACAGCACCCACACACATACAGCACCCACAGACACACAGCACCCACAGACACACAGCACCCACAGACATACACAGCACCCACAGACATACACAGGCACCCACTACATACACACAGACATACAGCACACACACATACAGCACCCACACACATTCAGCACCCACAGACACACATTCAGCACCCATTCAGCACCCACAGACATACAGCACCTAGCACCCACAGACCTTTAGCACCCACAGACATACACAGCACCCACAGACATACAGCACCCACACAGCACCCACAGACATACACAGCACCCACAGACATACAGCACCCCACAGACACAGCACCCACAGACACAGCACCCACAGACATACAGCACCCACAGACATACAGCACCCACAGACATACACAGCACCCACAGACGCACACAGCAGCACCCACAGACATACACAGCACCCACAGACATCCAGCACCCACAGACATCCAGCACCCACAGACATACACAGCACCCACAGACATACAGCACCCACAAACATACACAGCACCCACAGACATACAGCACCCACAGACACACACAGCACCCACAGACACACACAGCACCCACACACATACAGCAACCACAGACATACACAGCACCAACACACATACAGCACCCTCACAAACACACACAGCACACAAACAGCACCCTCACACACACAAACAGCACACTAACAGTACCCTCACAAACACAAACAGGACCCAAACACACACACAGCACACTACCAGTACCCTCACACACAAACAGCACCCTCACACACAGTACATTAACAGCACCCTCACAAGCGCACACACACACAAACAGCACCCTCACACACAGTACATTAACAGCATCCTCACAAGCACGCACACACAAATACCCTCACCCACATAGCACACTACCAGCATCGTCACACACACACATCACACTAACAGCACCCTCACACAGCACACACACACACACACAGCAGTGTGTGTATGTGTGTATATATGTGTATGTATATATATATATATATATATATATATATATATATATATATATATATACACACACACACATACATATATATATGCGGCGTGTGCTTGTGCTTTAGGGTGCACACCCTAATGCAATAGGCTGCGCACGCCTATGACTGTATGTATGTGATCTGAGCGCCATTCGGTAGTAATGTGCACTCAGATCTAAGCTATCTGGGGATATGTAGAATGTCTATGTTTTATGGAATAAATGTAACTGTATGTAATTTTATCTATTTTATTGTATTGTTACTGCCATGTGGTTAATGGAGTCTTGCCTCTGTCCTGGGAGATAATTGGATTACTTCACAACTATCTCTAGGACAGAGAGGAGGGATTGTGATGTAATTGTGGGTGTGTTTTATGGTTCTCCTGTAAACGATTGGTTGTACTGTGTCCCACCCTGTGGGATGTCCCCTTGAATGGGGACTTGCATAAAAGCCAGTGTGTGGCCATTACAGTGGAGTTCCTGCTTAACCATCATATTGAAGTGTCGTCTCATTATTGGGGGAGGATTTACTGCATGCTGTTAGAGACTGATTGCCAGGAGTGTAAGCCGCTTGGGGGCTTTTCCTGTTCGTCTGCTAGCAGCTATTCGTGTGTCTCCAGTTCGGGAGTTTGGAGTGCCCCTTGGTATGCAGTTCGGGAGTTTCGAGTATTCTCTTGGTTGCAGTTTGGGAGTTGGTGAATTCGTGGGTTTGCAGTTCAGGAGATTGGTGCTTGCAGTAGCTGTCGGTGCAGCTGAAAAAGGGGAATATCGCCTAAACGGTTTTTAACCTCTTATGGGCAAAACGGTCTGTTACACAGCCTGTCTTCAATGAGGGGGAATAATGTCACCAGAGGAGGAGTTGAAGGCAGGTTTTTTTTTTTCTTTTTTAAGGAGTCGGACTAGGACAGTAATGGTTTATCTGATCAAAAACTATATTTTAAAGTTTAAAGTTCTGATTCAAACGACCCTAGAGATGAAAAATAGTTAGGTCATGGTGGTTTGGAGCTTGTGATTTTCTCATGAAGGCAAAAATAGACAGTCCTGCAAGAAATTATTTTATTTCATATATTATTGTTTTTGATTCATGTAGTCTTCATGTATCATGTACCTGTGCTGAAGATGTGGAAATTAAAAGCAACATATTAAGAAAGCTAACTATTGCCTAAACATTTCACTACATGTGCTACTAGATATGCAAATGATTGTTGCTAAAAAATTGTAATTGTATGACTCAAGGTGCTGCAGTAACTAACAAAAGTTAATATAAACAAAGCTCCAGGGCCTTGCAGTATTCATCCACGAGTACTTAAGGAACTAAGTTTGGGAATAAGTGAACCTTTCTTTCTTTCTTTCTTTCAAGATTCTTTTCTTTCAGGAAGTGTACCGGAGGGTTGGAGGAAGGCAGATGTTGTTCCTATATTCAAAAAGGGTTCAAAATCCCTGCCTGGAAATTATAGACCTTTGAGCTTAACTTCTGTTGCTGGGAAAGTATTTGAAAGGTTATTAATGGATAATATTCAAAAATTCTTTGAGAAAAACGTGATCTATTTGGATTTTGCAAAGGCATTTGATACAGTTTCACACAATAAATTGGTGTTCAAACTCAAAGAAATCGGTCTAGATGAAAATTATTTTTATTGGGTAGAACATTAGCTTAAAAAATAGATTACAGAGAGTTGTCATTAATGGTACATTTTCAAGCTGGACAGAGGTGGCAAGTGGTGTCCCACTGTTCTGGAACCCCTTCTATTTAACATGTTTATAAATGAAAAAGCATTGAAAGTCATGTTTCAGTGTTTGCAGATAACACAAAACTCTGTAAAGTAATACAATGTGAGCAAGATATTACTTTGCCGCAGAGGGATTTAGATAGACTGGGGGACTGGGTACTCAAAAGACAGATGAAATTTAATGTAGAAAAATTCAAAGTTATGCACTTTGGCATAAAGAATGCACAAGCAACTTATATCCTTAATGGAAGCAAATTAGGGTTAACTACACACAAAAAGGATTTGGGAATTGTTATAGACAACAAACTATGCAACAATTAGCAATGTCAATCAGCAGTACTATGGTCAGTAAGGTATTGTCATGCATGAAAAAGGTAATTAATTCTCAGGATGAAATAAGACATGAGTAAGATCAGTGCTGTCCCCACGCCTCTTGTGTGGGCAACAGAGAGTTAATACAATGAACAGTCTTCTAAGGTCCTAGTAATCCAAAAGTGTGCAGGGTTATGGGACCCAACAAAAATTTCTGATTCTCCTTTTACCAAGGAGGACCAAGCACAATTGTCCCCCTATTTTCTCATCCTGTTTGCTGAGGAGTAAAGGTCAATAAAACTTAAGGCAAATGCTCTCTCTCTCTCCAATCCCACTCACAGGACATGGACTCATGCACCTAACTAGGATACACAGCAAGGACATTGGAATGTTTTTTCAGACTAGATGGTAACCAAAAAGGGGAAGATGATCAGGACAGAAGGAGTTCAAGTAACAGAAGGCCAAATAGGAGAAGTTTGAACAGCTACAAGTACCTGGGGGTAACACAAACACATGGCAACCACGAGGAAGAGGCAAGTAGATTAGCAACATCCAAGCACCTCCATAGAGTCAGTCAGATCTTGAAGTCACAACTCAATGGCAAGAACAAGATCCTAGCCATGAACACATATGCCCTACAGTCATCAGATGCCCAGCTGGAATAATAACCTGGCCAAGAGAAGAACTGGTCACCATGGATGTCAAAACCTGGAAACTACTCACTATAAATGGAGGACTACACCCAAAATCCAGCACCCAGAGACTGTGCACCAGCCGGAAGGAAGGAGGTAGAGACCTGATGAGTGTCAAGGCCACTGTCCTGGGTGAAACACAGAGTATCCACAAGTACAACACAAAGATAGCGCTCAAAGATGAGCTGCTAATGAAATTCCTGATTCAGAAAGGGAGGAGATCCCATGGCAAGACAAAGCTATCCATGGGGTGTACCACCAGCTGATAGTGGAGGTGGCTCACATGACAAAATCCTACCTGTGTTTTTAAAAGGCAGGACTAAAAGACAGCACTGAAGCAACACAGGAACAGGCACTCAGCACCATATCAATAGAAGTGGGAGTCCACCACACCAGGCACGACTTAAGGTGCAGATTGTGCAAAGAAGCCACTAAGACTATCCAGCACATGGTAGCTGAATGTAAGATATTAGCAGGAACAACATACACTGAGAGACACAACCAAGTTGCTGGGATTGTGTACTGAAACATCTGCTCTCAATATGGGCTGGACCTGCCTAAGTCCAGATGGGAGATACCACAAGGGGTAGTTGAGAATGACAGGGCTAAGATCCTGAAGGAGTTCCAGATCCAGACGGCAAGCAAGTACTGGCCAACCTGACATCATGGTGGTTGAGAAGGAATGGAAGACTGCAGTCGTGGTGGATGTGGTAATACCCGGTGACTATAATAGCAGGGAGAAAGAACATGAGAAGATGCACACATACCAAATAAAGAAGAGTTAGAAAGGTGTGTGTGGTAAAAGGTGATGTGGAAAGTGAAGGCAGTAGCAGTCCCAGTTGTGATAGGAGCACTCCAGGCTGTGACTACAAGTTGGGGGAGTTGCTTTAACAGATTCCAGGTGGGACATCTATGATCACTGTAGAAGAATGTTGTTCTGGGATCAGCAAGATACTGCCCTGAATCTTCAGACTCCCAGGCCTCTGGTAGAGGACCAGTGAATGATGAATAAATATACCATCCTGGAGGGGTGAGAAAATCAATTTTTCTATGTATAGGTAGATATAAATATATATATAAATATATATATATAATTATTTTTTTTCTTGGATTAACATTCCATGTGCAAATGTAAAGGGTAATCACGGAAATTTTTCCCAAACATATTTAGCAGTTACTCTTGAGTTTTTCATTTTTGATGAATGCTTATTTCTAGCAGTCTGACTTATTTGAAATTACTTATCTATAAATGATCAATGCGTAAAGTCTATGATAATTGCTGTTTTTTCAACCTGTTTGCAGAATAATTTGCAGAAATTAGATTTGTATCCAAATTGGCTATTATAAACACATTTTGTAAATCAGCTTACAGTCCATGGTTTAATGTATATACCTTATGTAATACATTCAGCTTTCTTGCACACAAATTGAAGCTGTTTCCTTGCCAAAAAAAAGTTTAGATCTACTTGGGAGTATTTGAGCTTGATGACAGTAATCTGTTTCTCTGGATGAATCTAAAAAACAAAACAGTTAAACACCCATTACAAATGGCTAAACCGGGGCACATTATATTACTCTTTTAAATAGCCCCTGAAACATTTATAAAGGGCATTGTTAAAAAATTTACAAAACATTCAACTCATTTTACAAGCAAAGCACATTATACTGTAAAATAAAACATGATACTAAAGAAGCTTTTAGAGTTTTATAACTAAGCTCATGTTCATTTTTAACAGAATGTACCACAAAAACCTGTTCATAGTGATTTGGTGTCATTTTACTTAAAACATTATTTGTAAAATAAAAACATTTGCTTTGCTAGTACATAAAAATGACTGTTAAGGCCTTACCTTTTTATCTGTCCTATGAAATGATGTACTGTGATGTTGTTATTGTTTTATTTTACCATTGTCATTTTCCTTTCTATATCTATTGCACTTTTACAGAATATGTCAATAAAAATCAGACATTAAAAAAAATAAAAAAATATATCATTTACATATATATTTCCCATTTTGCAGTAAAGTTTCTGTGAAAATTACTTTTTGGTTATGAGAACATCTTTGCTGCTTCTCATCGGGACCTAAAATGAAAACTGAATAGACAGAGATTAAATATATATAAAAAATCTACACAAGAACTTGCAAGCTTACCTCCAAGAAAGGACCCGCAGGGGCAAAGGGGCATTGGGAGGTATTTTTAGATAGCATTTCCATAAGCCAATAAAATATGGGATTATACACAGCACTTGTTTCATAAACTGAGTCCAATCAAGTTCCCTAGAACAAATATATATCTGTACTTCTAAAAACAGGTGTGTGTTGGTGGTTATACCTTGTGTGATTC